CTTATATTCATTTGCAGTATCGAGACAGGACATCTGCGCGAGATGCCAAACATGAAGACAGATCACGAAAAACTTTGGGAGTTTAGTGGGGACATAATGTGAAATTTCTATGTTGTTTCGAGCTCTGACTCCATTTAGATTATTTTTCTGAAACGGGTCACATCTTCTGGAATTTATACTTTTAACTTCCTGTTCCAGCCAAATAAGGAAAATATTTTTGATAACTGTTGATTTTATTATTATTATTTTTTTCCATTCTAAGAATTTTATTTTGTAATGTACATCGTGTTTTCAGTCAAAAAGCATGACACTGTAATATGCTAAGACGGTTGTAATTCAATTTTTTTTCCAATCCTGTTACATTTCCCCTATTTTTGTGAAGGTCTTTTAGCCTTTTTTTTTACCAAAAGCATTGCCTCCTGCCTTGTAAAAAGCATTTTGATGTAATAAAATGTTCTTTTTATTAAACAGAATTTGTCTTAGATCTTATAATTTTTTTTCTCTTGATCACCTGCCACTTAAATCTAGAGGTGATATTGTTTTTTCCCCACGTATTGGTTTATCAAAATTTCTCACACATCACTGAAGTGATCTGCAGCTGGTTAATTTTTAGAATCAACAATTCAAGATGGCCTTCACAGCTAAGTGACATTAGCAAACATAAACATGTCCATAAGGTAATTGAGTTTAAAAACAAGTTCCATCGTTATTTTATTCTGGAGTTGTTATTTTTTAACAGCTGTAAACCAGCGTTAATCGCCTGTAATCCCCTCCATTTGCAGCTCTCATCCACTGCATCACTGTCAGCCATAATCACCCTGAAGGACGCACTCTGGGATGTTATTGCGGTAATAACTCATGCTGCGAAATGACTCCCGATGAACTGTTCTCGGATGTTGAGAAATCTATCGCCGTCACTCCTGTCGTTTGTGCTCAGGAGCGGTTTATGGGGAGGCCGCTTCRGCACAAAGTGTGTCTTTGTGTGGCGTTACAGTAACCTTGTGGCCATTTCCTCCCTCTGCTGAGGAAGTCTTGCAGTGGTGTGTGCCATCCCCCCACCACCTCCAACCCTCCGGTGTCTGATTAATGTTCGCTAGCAGATCTTCACGTGGACCTGCCTTCTTGACTTACCCACTCCATCAGGTACCCTCTGCCTGCACCCGTAAACAAAAGTTACACATCGGGTAAAATAAGTATTGAACACGTCACCATTTTTCTCAGTAAATATATTACTAGAGGTGCTAATGACATGAAATTTTCACCAGATGTTGGTAAC